CACATTTTTTTTTTTTTAAATAAATCTAATAAGTGGTGGCCAGGGCTGGGGGCGGGTGAGAAATAGGGAGAGGTTGGTAGAAGGGTATAAACTTTCAGCTATAAGATGAAGATTTGAGGATCTAATGTAAAACATGGTGACTACAGTTGAAAACCCTGTATTGTAATTAAAACTTGCTAAGAGAGTAGAACTTAAATGTTCTTGCCAAAAAAAAAAGAGAGAGAGAGAGAGAGAAATATGTAAGGTGATAGATGTATTAATTAACTAGATGATGGGAGGGGGGACTATTTTTACAATGTATATGTATATCAAATCACCATGATGTGCACTTTAAATAACTTTTAATTTAGTCACTTATACCTCAATAAAGTTGAAATTTAAAAAAAAAAATTCAACAGAGTCAAAAGTTTTAGCTTGCTTTCAGGATTGCAAGTGAAAAGTATAGTAATTTCTTTCTGGATTTGCAAAGAAAACTCACAAATAGCTATACCTTTAAAAAACAGAAATGTTAATTTAAATATTATCCCAGCCCCCCAAAAACAAACAAACCCCCCCAAAAAACAATTTGCTGAGATAACCAGTCAGAATTATAGACTTTTCCAAGGTTAAAGGTTACATTCAAGTGGCAAAGCTATAATTTCTAAAGTCCAGGAACAAGTTCTTTCTTAGAAATATCATTTGCAAGGTCAGTTTTATGATGCAGATTAAGCTTTTTTGCACCTTCAGGGGAAGAGAAAGTATTTTCTCCTATTTTGCTGAGATTTCTTTCACTGATTTTTAAAATATCCACAATTTTCAGGCTAAGCGTGGAAATTCCACTAGTTAGCAACAAGAGTAAAGGAGGCTGGGCTGAATGGCTCAACATTTACACATGGGAAGTAACAGGGCAGAATAAGATTTTTATTAATAACTGAGTTTCTGGAGCATGTAAAGTTTTGCACCAATAGGAGACTGTTAGGCTTAGAGGTCTGTGATGGTCATGGATGATGGTCAAAGTCATAGGAGTAGGTGAGTCCCTCTCAGGAAGACAGTTAAATAAAGGTGAGGGAAAAAGAAGCCCTGGGCAAGCCCCCATGGGAGTCAGCAACTCTGCTCTGGGTGTGGGACTGGGTTTCACTGTGACCAAAGGCCACAGTGAAGACTCAGCCAAGTGCTTCTGGACCAAGTCCAGTGGGCTTTCCTCTGCATTGGGGCTTAAAGTATCTTGGTGATTCAGCCATCTGTCATTACAATTTTATATCATTATTATAATGATGTTTTGACTCTGAGAATTCCGGTCCTGTCAGAGTCACATTGCAACATCAATGCTGTCACTCTTTTCTAAAATATTTTTTCAATATTTACTATGTGCCATCCGTGCACCAAGCCCAGCCCCCTCTTAGCAATTCTGGGAGACATGTATAGCTATCAATCTTATTTTATAAAAAAGGAAATTGAAGCTTAGAGGAACTTAAAATATCTGGCCTGGGGGCACAAAATTCTCTTGTGGTAGAACCGTGGTTGAACTCACAGGGCCTGGGACTGACTCCAGAACCCATGCCCCAGGGCCTAGCCACATACTGTCCACCTGTGCCTGTGGCCTCGTGTAAGGCTGAGTGATATAAATCCCTCACAGCGTAGGGTTTGTGAGGCTGACTTTTACCTCCTGTCATAACCTATGGAGGGAGGAGCACTAGTTTTTTTTTTTATTCCTTCCCTTTATACTGTCCTCAGTTGACTGGTTGATTATATGATGACTTCAGGTTACGGATGGAGAAAACCCTATAATAAAATCTCTAGGTTGGGTTCTCATTAAGATACAGGTGTGTCTTGCTTTAAAATTCGTTAACCATAAATTGTCCCTTGGTGCTTTTGAATGTAAATTCAACAAACATTTATTGAATACTTTAATAACCGTGAGGCAGAATACTAGGTACTAGGTGGGACAGAGATGAATAAGAACTCACTCTCAGACTTCAAGTAGTAAAGACAGACTTCAGCTGTTAGTTACAAACCAAGTTAGAATCAGAGTTATAAATACTACACTGTAATTGGAATACGGAGACTTGCCTGGAGGACAAGAGGGGGCGTTGGAGAAGGGACTGGCAGAATGAATAGGAATTTAGGAGGAAAGAGCAAGAGATCAGAGGATATGGGCAGGGTAGGAGGGGTGAAAGTGTTTAGAATTGTTGGGGATCCAGGTAGTCCCCACCAGATGGAACATGGGGCTCAGACCAAACTTCTAAAAAGTTATTCACCAGAAGCCAATTGAGTGAATGCCAATTCCTGAAGGATCCGTTCACTGAAGTCAATTTGCTGAATTTATCAAATTGTTAATCTACTTAACATCATTTTATCGACTATATTCGATAATTATAAATATATTCTTTTTGGACGTAGCTAATGAATATATTCTTTGTAGCAGCATTTTAAATATTTTTTGTTCCATTTTCTGAAGGTAAGAATTTAATCTTATGGCTGTGTTTTTATAAATATACAGATAGTTTCTTGGAGTAAATTCAATGTATACATTTTTCTTGTGAATATATAGTAATGACAATTGAAACAATTCATATGGGGAATTTTCACTTTATACTATTATCCTCTTGATTTTTTATGGTGAAATTCTATTTTGCCAACATATTGGTATTTTGAAATCTCTTTCTTCAATTTCACGGAAGTTCAGTAAACATGGCAAATCTACTGACATCGAAAATTAAAGAAACTTATTTGTATAGTTTTTTTTGTAGTTCATAGAAGCTTTTATTGCCTGGGAGAAATTTATCATATTTAGTAAATTTCACAGATGATTTAGTGGACTGGTTTTTAATATGTGGAATTTGCCTTAACTTCAACTGTCTCCTGTCTCATTGGATTGCTAGGGCAGAAAGACAGAGATCTGAGATTGGGAGAGATATACTAGGAAAACAGAGAGAATGAAACACAAGAGAATATGCCTAAAATGTGGTTTCCGGCTCCTCCCAACTGACAACTGGTGGAGGAATGGCTTCATCAGAATAGAATTTGGGAAAGATAAGATTCTATGAATCATTACTCAATGAAGAAGTTAGGCCTCTCTACATAGTGTGAAGGGCCACTATAAACGTTTTTCTTCTATAATGTGGGACAGAAACATCTCTGAGAGAAATATTGAGGTGACTCCTTTTTATCTAAATGGATATGTGCTTAGTATGAATTATGGACACATGGGGAGTGTAGACTCATCTAGATGTAACAGAGATATCAGAATAAAAGATGAAATTCAACATTATATTGGGAGTGAACTTTGTATATTCCTTTAAGGACAAGACTCTTTCTAATGTAAATTTAAGATATATTGGTTTTACTAAAGGAAACAGGAGTGGTGGTGAAGAGAAAAATATCCTTCATGATTTTGCTTTAAATAAGTCTTTAAATAGTCTAATTAAATAACGAAAGTACATTTGTCACATATATTTTTCTTTTTTTTCCCTATCTCTACATATCTACATATATAGATCTCTATATATCTACCATATTTATATAAAACCATATAAATATAATGTTATTCTTATCACTATCTTATCACTATATAAATATGGTTTTATATACACATATAAAAAACTATTTTTTCAAAACTGCAAATTGCTTGATGGTTTATTGCCTCAATTGACAGTTGTCATGAAGAGCTCCCAAAACTATAGCAATCCAACTCCTCTTCTCTAGTTCATCATTTTCTTGCTTTTTCGTTTTGCTTTGTTTTACATTTGTTTCCTCTGCCATTTCCTTGGTCAGATCATCTCTGTGGCTCATCTGCAGTAGTCTTCTTAATTAACTTCCTTGTTTCTTCTCTCTGTTCACTTCAATCTTTCATGTACACATCTGCCATAGCGATCTTCTTAAATTATGTATCACTCCTTAGCTTACGAATAAAAAAACCAAAAACAATATCTAAATAAAAAAATAGATCATTATTCCCCAAAGAGTAGTGTCTATAAATTCCTAAACTTGGCTCTTATGTCCTATTCAGATACACATAGATTCTCACTCTTTAACCGTCTCCTTTTCTCAGACACTTTATTTTCCAGCACAGTATTATCTACTGCTCCCCAATTTCTCCGCATCCATTCTCTAACTTTTACAGCAAACCTAATGCAGATACAGCCACCTCCCATCTTTCCACTCAGAATTCATTCCTCCTCTGAGCAGAATGCTCCCATAGAGGCTACCACTCACTGTTATGTGTTGTGTAACATTTGTGCATATGTCTTTTCTTCTACTCTAGGCTGTAATTTCCTTGAAGACACAGATCCCATAGCCTTCATTCTGGTGCTTTATGATAAGTAGGAATTCAATGACTGTTTACTAAACTGAGTTCTTTCAGCAGAAAAGGATCGGAGAAGCAACAGGTCATGTACCCTCCAAGAGCTCCAAATGGAGCCCTTGATAGAAAGGGGAAAACGACAGCCTGGTCCTTCTCTAGATTGTGGAGAGTCTCTGATTCAACTCTGTTCCAAATAACCTTGGTCACTGCTCTTTTGTCTACTGTTCTTGGTGAGTAATAAGGAGACAAGTTCAGACTGGCAACAAATACTCAAGATCATCTACTTGTTTGTTCACTTTTAAGACTAACGAAGAGAAGATTAAGGCTTTGGCAGAAATCCAGCTTCAACAACAAAGGGTTTATTTGACTGGGAATTTGGAATTTATTTGAAATTTGGAATTATTTGGAATTTAAGGAGAATTTGCTTTACCTCTACAAGAGGCAGTTTTCTAGACACTTTCCCCTAGATTTCTTCTCCAGGAATTTCCTAATCTGTCTCCCAACAATGACTTGAAACAAATCTATATTGTCTATCAGCCTGGCTGAACAATTTTCACTACAGTGGGTTTATCTAGAATGGAGAGGGGAAGTGTACACTACTACTGTGGCTCCTAAAAGGTAAATTGGTTCTGTATTTAATTCTTGCAAGGAAAGCAGGATTAAGGCTTTTATTATTCAAGGGCTTTATGCTTCTTCCTTTGTATCACTCAAAATCCAAAAGGTACAAAAAAGTACAAATTAAAAATGTTATTCTTATCACTATCCCAGCAACCCAGTTACCCTTTCCAGAGGCAAACAATGTTACATAAAGTAATTATTAGTGAAATACTCTATTTCTTTTGAGGAAAATTGTAGGGACGTCTAGCTTTGCACAGATACATCTGAGTCAGCAGATATGGGAAATCTGATAGACTAATGAAATCATGTCTGCCATTCTTTTAAAATAAATTATCTCATATACAACAGGAAAAGAATGAAAAATTTCTCCCTTTTTTTATTATCGTTGACCATTCACTGGATTTGTTGAATAATAGAGATAATAGGAGTTATTATTTTTCTTGACTAGAGGAGAAAAGAATGGTTCTTGTTCTAAAAATCATACTACTGTAAACATTAAGGTACCGCGTCCCAAGCTACAACTTCTGGTGCTCTTTGTCATTTTGGTGTCCAGGTGATTGTGGTCCCCCTCCCTATTTAAACTTTGCTTCTCCAATAAATGAATTCAATGAGACAAACTTCAAAACTGGAACTTCTCTGAAATACACCTGCCGCCCCGGCTACATAAAGACCGGTTCAAGAAATCAATTTGTTACCTGTGACTCAAGAGGCACATGGTACTACAGTGATTTCTGCGTCAGTAAGTAGGAACATTTATTTTTCTTATTTGTGCTTTTCCCATTTTTCAAAGTTGTCTCAGGGACTAAGCTTTCTGAATACAAATGAGAATCTTTAGTCACTAAGAAACCACTCAATTTGTCAATGACTGATTTCAATGTACACAGGTATGTCACTTTTTGAAAAATATAAACAAGCAAACAAGTAAATAAAAGAGAAAAATTAGGAGCTATCTAGTTGCATTGAAAAATAAGTCCATTCTTTACAACATAATTCAGTAAATACTTCTTCCAGAAGTTAACTATAAATTCAATTTTAATATATTGAAAACGAGATTCACTCTTTACAAATTGTACAAAGTTATATGCCTAGAAAGTGATAATGCAGTTTCCAAAGAAAGCTCACCCAAAATACTTGCTGTATTTGGAAGAAGATGCTATGATTCTCTCTCAGTTGAGACTATATTCTGTGATGTTTTTCCGATAATAAGGGTGTACAATCTATACTATTTTTTGTTTGTTTTTCCTTTTGTGACCAAGGTAATGCATATTTGAATGGCCTAAGTTCAAAGTATACACCACTGCCATAAAATAAAACATAACTTCCTGGTCGGTGTGCTAAATCCTAGACTGTAGGTGAGATTGCCACAGTAATTTAGCTGACCATCTTTCTCTATTGGTAAAAGATAACAGAAAAAATTAGATCGATTTTTGAATTTATTTTTTTGCTCCAAAATAAAAATTCAGTGAGCCAGGATCAGAAATAAATTTGAATTTGAACCTCTGGTCTTTCTGGAAGCAGAGGTCAAAGCTTCTCTAATTCCATGTCTGTGAGTAATTGAAATCACTAATCTTCATTTTTAATTTTCTCTCAGAGAGATCATGCAGCAACCCAGGAGAATTACGTAATGGGCAAGTGATCATTGAGAAAGATCTTTCTTTTGGATCACATATCGAATTCAGCTGTTTAGAAGGGTGAGTGCGAGGCAATCTAGAAACAATACATTTTTTAAAATTAATTTTTAAAAATCACTAATGTGTTTATATGTTTCAAAAGAAATGATATAAGAAATTATATACTGAGAATCCTCGCTTCTACTCTATCACCATCCACCTCATTCTTTCCTGCCCTTAAACAGGGATCTACTTTTATTGGTTTCTTATGCATCTTTCTAGTGAGTTTACTTTTACAAATACAAACTAAGAAATTAGTATATTAGTTTTATTTTGCACCTTTTCAATAACAAACGTAGTTTTGAATCTTGCTTTATTTTTTTACTTATCAGTATATATAGAAGATATTTCTGTGTTTTTGCATAAAGAGGTTCCTCATTTATTTCCTTTTACAACCGCATAAAATTTAATTATGGGATATATCATGGATTAACAATCTTTTTGATGGATCCATGAATATTTCCAATCTTTTGCTATTCTGAACAGTACTCTTATTAATTATCTTGTATATTTATCATTTTGTACATATAGAGTTATATCTGTGGAGCAAAATCCCAGAATGGGATTTCTGGGTCAAAAAATCATATGTTTGAAAATTTGAAAAATATTGCAAATTGTTCTCATAGGGGATTACATGATTTTGCAGATATGCTAATGTTTGTTTCTCCATAAACTTTCCAACTAAGTGTATTGTCAAGTTTTGAAAACTTGTCAGAATTTTGAAAATTTTCCAATTTTAGAGGTAAAAATAAAATCTCACTATAGTTTCAGTGTATATTTTTCTTTTTATGAGTGAAGTCGAGCATATTTTTTTATGTTAAGAGATGTTTGTATTTATTTGTGTACTACTTGGATGTCCTTTGCCTATTTTCTTTTCTTGAGTTGAATTTTTGGTTCTTAATTCCTAGGTGATATACATACATGAACCTATGTATTAGGATTTGAACTTTGTTTCTGATATAAGCTCAACTTTTCCCCAAAGTATGTAATTTTTTTTTGACTTGGCTATTGGTATGTTTTTTCTTCTCAAGGAGAATTTTTTTATGTTGTCAAATTTATCAATCTCGCTTTTAAAAATGGCTTCTAGATTTTAAGTCTTAATTTAAAAGGCCTTCCCCAATACAAGATTTTAAACTATTTTCCCAGTTTTATTCTACAACTTTATGTTCTTATATCCTTTAACATTTAAAGCTTTGATCCATTTGGAGTCAATATATTGTGTAGAGCATATGAGGTACATATCCTAGTCTGTATTTTTCTGTATGGCTTTCCTGTTATCCCAACTTCATTTATTAAAAAGTCCATCTTCAATCTAATGACTCGGGAGTGCTTTTTGATATTATATTGAATTCCTATATGCATCCAGGTCTTTTTCCAGACTTTTCATTAAATGCCATTGTTTTGCCTGCATATTCATGTATACAATACACAGTCTTCTACTTAGTGAGGCTTTATATGTTTTAATAGCCAATATGGATCTATTGTTCTTCTTTTTCAGAATTTTCCTGACAATACCTTTTTTTTTCTATGTGAACTTTAAAGTTCGGCATATTTTAAAATCAGTGTTGGATTTGTTTTTAACTTAATTTTAGGAGAATTTTTTTAAATGTTGACTCTCCCTAGATATGTTACTGTAGGGAAGGCAAAACTTTACCTCTACCTCTTAGAATCTCTGGTGAGGCCTGAGAATTAGTTGACATAAGACAGATTAACAAGAAAAAAGCATACAGATTTTATTTTTACAGGTACATGGGAGCCTTCACAGGAAAATAAAGACCCCACAGCAGTTAGACTGAACAAAGAACAATAACAGTAACTAAAATATACGGAGAAACAAAAGAAAATAAGGGTTATTTTGACAAGATCTGTTTGTACATATTTCTCTTGGTCTCAACTCCCTCTTTGGTGAAAAGAATGTTCTTTTCCTCCTGGTATAGGGAAGGCACCTTTCTCATGGGATTTTGCTTTCCTGCTTTCAGGAAGAAAGGGGAAGGTCAGAGCACCCTTCCTACACCAGCTGTTTTTCAAGCACCGTTAGCTCTCAATGATCCTTATGCTAAAGTCACACGTTTTGGTGTGGCATATTCTGCCCCATTAATTTGCCTTTTTCTCCTTTATTCTTCCAAGAGTGTTTCAAAGTTTTCTTCACATGGATTTTGCACTTTTTGAAGTGTTTAAGTCTAGATATTTTATTCTTGCTATTTTAATTTTCTTTTATCATTTTAACCATTAATTTAAAAAATTTTAAAGATTTTTATTAAAATATAGCCAGCATATAATATTATATTACTTTCAGATGTATACTGTAGTTATTCAACATTTATATACCTAAAGAAGTGATTACCATGATGAGCCTAGTGACCATCTGACACCTTACAATGCCATCACAATATTATCAACTATATTCCTTATACTGTATAACACTTCTCCATGACTTAATTGTTTTATAACAAGAGGAAATTTGAACCTATTATTCCTCTTCACCTTTTTCCACCCCTTTTTCTGATTTTTCAATTATGGTTTACATTCAGTATTATTTTATATTAGTCTCAGGTGAACAGCATAGTGGTTAGACATACATATAATTTATGAACTTTCCCCCGACTAGTCTAGTACCCAACAGGCACTGTAAATAGTTATTACCATATTATGGACTGTATTCCCAATGCTGTATTTTAACATCCCCATGACTCTTTTGTAAGTACCAATTTGTACTTCTTAATCCCCTTATCTTTCTCACTCCAATCTCAGACCTCTCTCGACTGGCAACCACCAGCTTGTCCCCTGCATCTATGAGTCTGTTTCTGTTTTATTTGTTTAGTTGTTCTTTAGATTCCACACGTAAGTAAAATCATATGGTATTTGTCCTTCTTTGTCTGACATATGTCACTTAGCATAATACCTTCCATGTACATCCATGTTATCACAAATGGTAAGATTTCATTCTTTTTTTTTTTTACGGGTGAGTAATATTTCAATTTATATATGAATCAATTCTTCTTTATCCAATCGTCTATTGATGGGCACTTACATTGCTTTCATATTTTGGCTATTGTAAATAATGCTGCAATGAACATAGGGGTGCATGTATCTTTTCAAATTAGTGCTTTGGATTTTTTTTTTAGACAAACATCCAGAGGTGGAATTGCTGGGTCATATGGTAGTTGTATTTTTAATTTTTGGAGGAACCTCCACATTGTTTTCCATGGTGGCTGCAGCAATTGGCAATCCCACCAACAGTGCATGAAGATTCCCTTTTCTCTACATCCTTGGTAATATTTGCTTGTGATTTATTGATGATGACCATTCTGGCAGGTGTGAGGTGATATCTCATTGTGGTTTTAATTTGCGTTTCTCTGATGATTAGTTACATTGAGCATCTTTTCATATGTCTATTGGCCATCTGTACATCCTCTTTGGAGAAATGTCTATTTGGGTCCTCCACCCATTTTTTAATTGGATTGTTAGTTTTTTGCTGTTAAGTTGCATGAGTTCTTTATAAATTGTGGATGTCAACCCCTTTTTGGATGCATCATTGGCAAATATCTTCTCCCATGCAGTAGGAGTCTTTCTGTTTCGTTGATGGTTTACCTTCCTGTGCGAACCCTTTTTAGTTTGATGTAGTCCCATTTGTTTATTTTGTTTGTTTCCCTTGCTCGAAGTGACCTATCAGAAAAAATATTCCTAAGAACAATGCCAGAGAGTTTATAGCCTATGTTTTCTTCCAGGAGTTTTATGGTTTGGGGTCTGTCATTTAAGTCTACAATCCATTTTGAGTTTATTCTTGTATATGGTATAAGAAGTGGTCTAGTTTTATTTTTTTTATATGTATCTGTCAAGTTTCCCAACACCATTGATTGACTAGACTGTTCTTTACCCCATTGTCTATTCTTTCCTCCTTTGTCATAGATTAATTGACCATATAGGTGTGGGTTTTTTACTGGGCTATCTATTCTGTTCCATTGATCTATGTTTTTGTTTTTATGCCAATATCTTGCTGGTTCGATTACTGTAGGCTCAGTATAGTTAGATGCCAGGTAGTGTGATACCTCCATTTTGTTCTTTTTATTCAAGATTGCCATGGCTATTTAGGGTCTTTTGTCATTCCATATAAGTTTTAGAATTATTTGTTCGAGTTCTTTAAAAAGTGCCAATTACATTTATTGATATGAGTGATTGCTATAGACTTGGTTTTATTATGTTATTTCATATTTTATACTCTATATATTTGCTATTTAAGAAGGTTTAAAATTTGGTTCTAGTGGTTACCTATATACATTTACATTAATATAATATCATTATTCCCCTTTATTTTTAGGCAGTTTAAATTTGTTCCCTGTTATGAGCAACAGTAAATTTACCTTGTATTCTCTCCTCCTCACCCCTCTGTCTTTTCTAGCAGTAAATTTATGTCCTTTGTATTATCTTAATGTTTATATTTAACATTACTGTTAAATACTCATATGTGTCTATAGCTCGATTTCACTCCCAACTCTTGAGGATAAGGTAATGAGGGGGTTTGTTTTGTTTTGCATTTTCTCCCACATCTCCTATTATTTGTTAGTTATATTATTTCAGCACTGTCAGAGCATATAAATTTGTATTTATTTCAGTCACTCTTAACCTTACCTTTGTTCTTGTCCTAGATCTTCATGTTCAGTGCTCACTACGAGTTGTTTTTTGCTTGTTTTTATTGAAATTTACCCTGTCGTTGCTTGGTTGGCTATAGTTTGTCCTCTGGCGATTTCCTAAAAGAAAAGCTCCAAGATAAATTATTCCTTGAGTTCTTACAGGTTCAGTGCTATCTGAGAACTTGATATTTATATACATGGCTGGGCATAAAGTCTTTGGCTCATACTTTCTTTTCTTGACTATCTTATAGGTTTTGCTCCATATCCTTTTCTAGTGGATGTTGCTGTAGAGAACTCTGATGCCTACCTGGATTTTTTATTCCCATATATGACTTGGTCTTTGTTTGGCTATCCAAAGATATTATTCTTTATATTTGATATATAATAATCCTACTCTTAGTTATTTTGATACAAACAATTTAGTTCATTTTTTTGTTGCTGTGACATACAATTTTAAAATGTAGATTAAAGTATTTTATTTTTGTAATATTGACTTGAAATACATTTTTAAATAGCTATTTTATTGTTTTGTGCTCCTTCTTCGTGTATTCCAGTGAAATATATTCTAATTTTCCTTTGCTTGTCATCTATACCTCACATTTTTCCTTATTTTTGTTGTTTTATCATGTTTATTCTGTTTCTCTTGTTGTGAATAACTGCTAAGAAGAGAAGTGAGAAGATTCATAACTATGGTGCTATTGGAACATTGAAATGTTTCTATTAGAATAACCAGAAAACAGTACTTTTCATTTGTTTTCCTGGCTAAGTTAGGAAAATTACATTTTGAAGAAATTTCAAAATGCAGTAATGTAGAATTCTCACTGTATCTTATCTTATTAAAAGATTTTTTTCCTTTAAGTTATTATTAAATAAGCTTGAGAGGCTCTTAAATTGCTGAAGGTAACATTTGTGTTAGTGTTCAATCATACTGTACATTATTCCTCAATGATAGTATAATTTGAAATCATACTAACAATGCTTTTATTTTATTTTATTTTTCTGTTACCAAACTACATAGAGAGCAGCAGGCTTAGAACTTGTCAAGAGCATAAAAATAGGGATCATGAACAGGGAATTAATGGTGTATGGAAGAGAGTAATCATCTGAAAGTCAAAAGGAGGCTGCAAACAATGAAAGTTTGAAGTCAGTAATCTAGCTGGTACTCTCATTCAACATGCATGACACACTCAATTGAATCTTTTACCCTATATTGTCCTGCTTGAGCTCTGGATGAACTTCATGACTGACATTTAGTAGATGCTCAATACTAGATTACAGAATAAAAGAACAAGTGAACAAACACATCTCATTGCAATGGTGAAATTTTACTGAATGGAGTGCTCAGTGGGAAGTATTATCTGAGGAAACATTTTTTTTTCCATTTTTTAATATTGAGTAACAATTTTATTTGTTCAGATACTTTTATCCAATTTAATTTAGGATAGAAAGAACACCACTAAAATCTCCAATCTTATTTTATTCAGGTATATCTTAATGGGCTCAACCACTAGTTATTGTGAAGTCCAAGATAAAACAGTTGGCTGGAGTAATTCTTTTCCAGAATGTGTAAGTAAGTAAGGACTTTTTCTGACTTGACTATAAACTTATGTTAGGTGATAAAAGTCCTGTATATCTTTGCTGCTTTTTGTACTGTTCATTAGAATTTGCATCATGAATGTTAGATTTATAAGGATGCCTTACCTGATTATTTCTTTCTCTTTACTCACTCATCCCAGTTGCCAATTGTGAGCCCCCTCCTGATATCATCAACGGCAAGCGCAGTGGTGGAAATGAAGATATCTACACATATGGCTCTTCTGTCACTTATAGGTGTAACCCTGGCTTCTCAATGTTAGGCAAAGCTTCCATTTCTTGCATGGTGGAGAACAAAACAATAGGTGTCTGGAGTCCCAGCCCTCCTACTTGTAAAAGTAAGTCACATTTGAATTGTTGAATTATGCTTTGGATTTTTCTCTTTTGTTTAAAGGAGCAAAGAAGGTACATTTATTAGGGGAAATGAAATGATTTAAAGACAAATAAATTATTGCAATGATGAAATCATTTATTTGGTCAGCTTATACTGATGCATGCTATACCAGTATATAGTAACAAACAGCACCAATATCTCATTGGCTTTGCAAAGTAGAAGTTAATTCTCATTCATACTGTGTGCACTGCATTTCTAGAAGACTCTTTAGTTATTAGTTTAGCAACCAGTTTAGCAATCCAGGTTGATCTTGTGGCACCTCCATATTAAGATACGCTTTCACAATGTCTTCAGTAGAGGAAGAAAGAAAAGCAAATTGCGCCCTGGGTTTTAAGAGCTTTGGTCTTAAAACCAAATATGGTCCAGAGCAGTATAATCCATTGTGGACCTGAATGATATCACTACATATTACTTTACATTGCAGCCGTTTATCCAAAACTCATAATGTATAGATCCTACCTACCTTAAGGGAACCGGGGAATATCATCTTTTGTCTGTTCAGGAAGCAGAGCTGGAAATATTGGTTAGCACTTGTAATGTCAACCACATATCCCTACATAGCAAGCAAAACCTAACCACCAGAAGGTCAACAAGACAAAGCAAATAGTAATTGAGCCAGAAGATATACTGTGGTATTGCTAGTTTGCTAATCTAAGGCATCTTCCTTTGCTACTTATTGCCTAATAGTATCACTTACTATTCTGATTCCCCACAGGACACAATCAAATCAGGGAATGAGAGAGCATGATACTGCAAACAGTCCAAAATGCCTGGAGTCTAGACTGCAAGAGGTGGAAATGGCAGAGACTGAGGTTGGAAAGTTAGCAGGGTCAGGTTATGAAGGGCCTCATGTGTCACTCTTGGGAGTTCAGAATGAAGTTGAAGCGGAAACATTAAAAGTCTTTAACCAGGAGATTTAATATGTTGCATTTTAGAAAAGTAACTCTGGCTGAAACAAAATTTAACCCACAGGAACTTGTTGCAACCATCCAGACAAGAAGTAAAGGTGGCTTCAACTTTAGCTGTGGCAGTGGGCCTGGAGAGAGGTTGAGGAATTGTAGAGGAATTAAGGTGGTAGGACTTGACTGTCTGCTGAGGGAGGAAGGCAGTTTGTTCTTTGCTTGTGATGGTGTAGATCTCTGATGCCCTGGCTGCCTCATCGTCATGACCATTGAATCATTATCATTGGCCACTGACCCTCCACCAACATCATCAAGGAAAGTCAGTAATATATGCGGACTTTGAGATAATGTGTTTTTTTTCTGGGTTACACATGGCTAATTTTTCTTGGGAAACTGAGGAAGTTGAAGTTATCCATGATCATCTCGTAATAGAACCAACATAATGGGACCTCATTTTATTGAGGCTTTTGAAAGTTGAAAAATATATAAATGCATTTAAAAATGTTTCCTTTGTATCTACTTGACATGTACTGTATCCAGCTTTTCTGTTATAATCAGAACTGGATTAGCAATAGCAGTAATATCCTTATTGTCATTTCTCTTTCATAATCCACTTGTCTTTTCTTATGATTCTTTAGCAATCATCT